AGATGCATCCCAGAGTCCTAAAGGAACTGGGTGACATAGTCATCAAGCCAATCTTGATGATATTTAAAAAGTTATGGTGACCAGGTGAGATCCCCCCAAAAAAGGCAATAACACAATGATTTTTAAGAAAGTAGAAAAGATGACCCACAGAACTACTTACCTGTCAGCGTCACCCACGTTCCAGCAAAGTGCATGGATCAGATCCTCCTGGAAGCTATAACACAGCAAATGAAAGAGAGGGAGATGATATGGAATAACCAACATAGCTTCACCAAGAGCAGGTCCTACCTGACCAACATAGTGGCTTTCTATGATGGCATAACTATGTCACTGTACAAGTGAAGAACCACTGATGTCATCTGTCTGGACTTTAGTTAAGGCCTTTGACATATAACCCAACAACATCCTTCTCTCCCAAATTGGAAAGACGTGGATTTGATGGGTAAACTGTTTGATGGATGAGGAACTGGTTGAGATCATACTCAGAAATGGCTCAAGGTACAGACAGAGATCAGTGACAAGTGGTGTCCCACAGGGGTTGGTACTGGCACCAGTGCTCTTTAACATCTCAATCTCTTTAACATCATGATATCAACAGTGGGATTGAGTGTACTCTCAGCTTGGTACATCCCAGCTTGTGGACGATACCAAGCTCTGTGGTGTGGCTGACATGGCCGAGGGACAGGATTCGACCCAGAGAGACTGAGACAGGCTCATGCCCAGGTGAATTTCATGAGATTCAACAAATCCAAGTATGAGTTCTTGCACCTGGGTTGTGGCAACCCATGCTATCAGTTCAAGCTTGGCAGTGTAAAGGTGGAGCACTGCCCTGCTGAAAAGGTCTTGGGGGTACTGGTGGATTGGAAGCCGGACATGAGCCAGCAATGTGCCCTCACAGCCTGGAAAGCCAACTGTATCCTAGGCTTCCTCAAAAGAGGCACGGCCAGCAGATCAAGGGAGGCGATCCTGCCCCTCTGCTCTGTGCTGGTGAAACCTCACATGGAGTACTGCATCTGGATGTGGAGTTCTCAGTACAGGAGAGACGTAGACCTGTTGGAATGCATCCAGACGAGGGGTCACAAAAATGCTCCAAGGGACAGAACACCTTTATGAGGTCAAGCTGAGAGAGCTGGGGCTGTTCAGTCTTGAGAAGGTTCTGAGGTGATCTGATAACGACCTCTCAGAATCTAAAGGAGGGGCTGTTGTGATAGGACATGGGGAAATGGTTTAAAAGAGAGGAGATTTAGATTGGGCATAAATAATAAGTCTTTTACAATAAGGTTGGTAAGGCACTGGAACAGGATGCTCAGAGAGGTGGTGGATGCCCCATCCTCGGAAACATCCAAGGTCACACTGGACAGGGCTCTGAGCAAACCGATTTAGCTGTAGGCGTCCCTGTTCATTGAAGAGGAGTTGGACTAAAGAGCCTTTAAAGGTCCCTTCCAACTCAAGTAATTCTATGATTCTACGATAAGTTCTAAATTACCTTGAGGTCTGAACAGAATTTTTCAGTTTCTTAGCATCCAAAGAGCTAACTTAAAAAATAACACCAGCTTCAGTAAAGGCTGGGGGGATAGAGACCCATCTAGCTTAGAGAGTAGGACAGGGAGCTATTTCTCCATGTCTCCAAAGGAAGAGATGCGCCAAAAGCACATGCTGAGTTTGTGGTAAAAGTGGCAGGCATCACACTTATCTAAAGGGTACAGCAGCAAACCAATAATGCTTGTTTTGTATTCAGTTACATTCTGAGTAGGTTAATCAGAAAAGTAATCTGGAAAAAATGAAAAATCTCTTTATTCATTAAGAGAAGCAGCCCTTAAAAAGCAAAAGCAAGCTGTGTGAGCTCAGATCAGCGTATGCTCCTTCACTAGCTGCATTGATATCTACCAGCAGAAAGGATTTTTATGCCCTGAGTCTGTGCCATGCTCCCTCTCAGATACTCTGCTAATCAAAAGAAAATAAAACCCTATTGACGATTATCACCTGCATGTCTTAGCCATTGCTCAAGGCACATATTAAGTCCCTACAGACATTCCCACAGGTGTGTTACACGTCTCTAACATGCTGAGCAGCACTATACAGAAAAATATTTTCATAATATTCTTCAGTTTCAAAAATCCCATGTTTCTTGATAATGTTTAAGGTCAATCAAGAACCATTTGCTTCACTTTTATTTGTAAATGTCTATTTGCATTACCACCACACAAGGTTTTTCTGCTGATACAGGCTTCCACAACACAGAGGCCTGCATATGATCTACTGTCTGAGTCATAGAATCACCAAGCTTGGAAAAGACCTCCCAGATTGTCCAGTTCAACCATCCACCTACCACCAGTATTTCACCCACTAAACCATGTTCTTTAGTACCACTCGACAAGTGTTTCTTGAACACTTCCAGGGACAATAACGTAACCATCACCTTGTTCAGCCCATTCCAGGTCCTGGCCACTCTTTTAGAGAAGACATTTTTCCTAATATCCAACCTGAACCTTCCCTGGCACAACTTGAGACTATTCCTTCTAGTTTAGTGGGAGAAGAAGCTGATCCCCCACCTCACCACAACCTCCTTTCAGTACCTGTAGATAGCAATAATGTCTCCCCTGAGCCCCTTCTTTTCCAGAATCTCTCAGCCAGCCTCTCTCAATCCCAGTTCCCTCAGGTGCTCCTCATAAGGCCTGTGCTCCAGACCCCTCACCAGTTTCACTGCCCTTCTCTGGACATGCTCCCTGGTCTCAAATGGCTTTCTTGTAGTGAGGAGACCATAACTGAACACAGTACTCGAGGTGCAGCCTCACCAGTGCTGAGCACAGAGGTATGATCACTTCCCTGCTTCTGCTGGCAGTACTATACAACCCAGGATGCCATAGGCCTTCTTGGCCACCTGGGCACACTGCTGGCTCATGCTTAGCTGAGCAGCAACCAACGCAGGTCCTTTTCTTCTGCACAGTCTTCCAGTCACTCTACCCCAAGCCTGTAGTGTTGCCTGGGGTTGTTATGTGCAAAGCACAGGACCCAGCACCTGGACTTATTGAACTCCAGCACCCATCCTTAGTGCCCACAATGTGAGTTTCACTGAGGAGCATTTGATAGGACTGCTAAGTCCTGTGCAAGCAGGTTGCTACTTTTTTCCCCTCATTTTTAAATCTCTGAAGTAAAAACTTTCATTTCTTTATCCAGAGGCTGTTTTGTGATAAATTGTCAACATCACATGCACCCTTTGTGCATTCAGAGATCAAGAAGATTCTGCACAATCATGGGGCTGCCTGCAAAGAGTTCACTGATGGTATGAGGCATTTTTGAGCAGTTTACTATGAATCACTAAGCAAATGTTGTGAATGTTCACTTGAGTGAGATTCCTCTTAGAATATTTACACCCATTCACCATTCTCATCACTCCAAAGGCTGTTTAGCATACCATACGTTCAGCTCCACAGGCCTGTTTGTTCTGGTAGACATAAAACAAGGTTTATGTGGTGTTAACAGTACATCCTGAATAAACATATTGAAATTACAAGAGCCTGAACTCATCCAGAGTAATGGAAAAAAAAGAAAAAAAAAAAAAAAAGAAAAAAAAAAGTTGATATTCAGGCGCCCCAAGGAAACTGCCCCAGGACATCTTCATAAGAAATAGACATGTTGTTTTTATTTGATTGGTAGAATCAAAACTAAATGAAGTAAGCCAGTGAGGACACATGTATTTCAAAACTTACTTCCCAGCTGTACTGCTATTAGAAGACTAGATTGGCTCCTTAGGAATACTGCATTTTGATGTGGCTGCATTTTGGCTTAGCCATTCATCTCTGAAATAGGTGCAAGGCTACTCACAGAGAGGCTAAGCAGAAGCTAAGTGTAAGGATCTTTTCACTCCAAAGCACAGCTGAATATTCCTGGTGGCATTATATGTAGGTTCATGTATATCCTGAGTTAGAAGGGACCCACAAAGATCATCAAGTTAAACTGGCTGCATGCAGGACCACTTCCAAAATCAACCCTATGTCTAAGAGCATTGTCTAAACACTTCTTGAACTCCAGCAGGCCTGGTGCTGTGGCCACTTCCCGCATACTTTAAGACGACACATCCAAACAGATCCTAAAGACAGCCCGTATCTGAATCCTATTCCACCTCTGATGCCAATGGATCAAAATGCTCAGCCACATACCTCATGGAAACTTACCTGAATTCTATGGAGTTAGAATTTTTAGATTAAATTTACGGATTACCAGATTGCCAGAAAGCTCCCAAAGAATCCAATGCATATTTGTCTCTGTCTGAAGAGATGAGAAAGCAAAGGATGATCTGTGAAAATCACTGTTATTGTTCTCTAAGATAGTTATGACCCAACTGCTTGCTTGCAACTATACAACTCTGGACAGTGTGCCTACGTATCCTCAAATAAAAATTCTCTGGAGAAACACCACTTACATCAATGTTGCAACCTACCAAATGTGCTAGTGTCATAACCCAACTCAAAAGCAGCACTATATGACACAAGTACACTGTTGAATCTTTGTACAGTCTTCACATACAAGTTATGTTCATTTTTCTATGTTCGCTTAAGAACTGAAGATTAACACAAATAAAAAGTCCTTTCTGTGATGTGGGCCAAAGCAGATTTTAATTGGACAGCACACCTTTTCTGCCCTGCCCAGGCAATCTGAAGAAGTTTCAACATTTGCTTAAACAAATTTTCACCTGAAAATTCCCATTTAAAGGTTCCCAGTTTATGTTTGCTGATTTCAGGTTAATAAAGAGAACGGCATCTGGATAAAACATAATAGAGCGCTTTGTAAAGTGAAGCTCCTAATCTGATTTAACAGCTTAATTTCCAACTCCACGGATGTATTTCCAGTCAGTGGCCTTGCTGAGAAGTGTGCCCCCCTAAGCATCTTGAGATATGTTTGTTGTCATAAACGCATTAATAGCACTGATGCAAAGAGCCCAGAAGCACTCTGATAACAACGTGACCCATGAAATAAAGCAGATTTTAAAACCATCAAGACAATGCATTTTTCTCATTTATTCAAATCTTCTGCAGGAAGTAAACACTGAAAGATTTAAAAAAACTTCACACTGCAGTATGTACAGTTTTGTGACATCACATGAGGAAATTAATTTCTAATAAAAAAATGAGACCAGTTAGATAAATTACTGAAAACACATCACAATAAAATTGGTTGTGGTAAAATCCCAAATTCTTATGTATGACAATGAAAATCAATATTCCTTTGTTTTACAGCAACGGAATAGTCCCGGTACAATACCTCAGTTACTCAGAATGGAATCCTGAACTTACATGACTGATTACAGTTGTATGAGTACTTCATGTTTTAAAAGTAGGTTTGCGTTTATTTTTTTTTTTTCCCCAGACCCTTTTGATTTGAAGCACATTCTTTCACAAAGCTAAAATACCACAGCAGAAGTCATGTCCAGAAGTGGAATACTGTTGTGTTTTGAACTGACCTGACTTGTTAAGACATTTTTGCCAACGCACAGATGCACAGGGTCCCCCATGCACTTTTCATGCAGCAGGTAATCACAACTTTAAATAAAAGTATTTTTCTATACATTCTTCCAGACTTGCAACTGTATACATACATGCAAAAGTTTTTAAACCTATGTGATCATATTTACACTTATACATGGAATATACATAACAAAAAAGATTAAAAGGTTTTGTTTTTTTCTTTTTCCTTTGCATTAGAACAATACAAAATATGTATTTTTCATTAAGGAAACCACTATTTACATCACCTTTTAAAAACCAATTTCAACATATTATAGGTGTAACAAGTCAATCTATTTACATTATATATAAATATATATAATATATACTTACCAGCTTACTCCTCTGTAAGATGTGGCAGAGAACAAACTGGTAATATCATGTCACTGACGTCAATGAGAGCTGTAATACTTTCACCAACATTTAACAGGGTAAATTTAAACCACTCATTTCTTTCCTTTAAAAAGATTCGTAAATTAAAAATTTAAAAACATTACTAAGAGCAAATGGCTAAGAAAAGTGAAAGTTATGGCTGAATTCCCTTTTGATCTTACAATGGTTATGAACTTCTCAAACTGCGCTGACAGGTTAAGTGGTATCAGTGCAGAAGCCCTCTAGCAACACAGCTCTGATTCTGTGATCGTGTGTCACCTTCCTGTCATTTCCTCACGTTTGGCAGCGGAGATGTTGGAAATCTGGTTCTCTCGGTCCCTTGCACTTCCCTCTGGAAACAAAAGGCATAACTGCATGGCAATCACAAGTCAAACCCCAAATCTGCCCAGCCTGAGTGCTACACTAACACAGCGGATGAAGCGGCCTGTAGGTCCAACCTCGAGCAAGGCACGGGGCACTTGGCAACCCAGCTGCTGCCGCTGCAGCTGTTCTGAGTTACAGAATGTTAAAGTTGACTCTGGTACAAGTCCCAAGGGGATGCAGCTACAACTTTAAGTAGCGTGCACATTCCTAACTCGCTTCGTCACTGCTCCATGAGGTGGAGGCAGCTTTACCCCAGCAGTCTCATCCATTTCCAGATGCAGTGTCATCTCCTCCCTTACCCGATGGTGAGCTTACGTGGCTGCACCTAACAGTCCTGCACCTACACAGCTGCTGCTGCCTGTCTCTGACACAGTCCTGATCCTCTTCAAACCCACAGTCTGAAGACCTAGCTGAAATATCACCCTCCTGAGCTAGCACACACCTATCTTTGAAGGCTCCACTCTCCCAGGCTGAGGGAGCATTTTGGGGACAGCTGAAACGCGTATCCTAGCAGTAAATATCTACTGAACCAAGGAGATTGGTGTTGCTGAGGTCACCGAGCATTACGCAGCGGATGTCCTTGGTTTCTCACTCATCCCACAGGGACTGGGGGAAATCAAGGATCTTTTGAGTTGCCTGGAAAAATGGTCAAACCTGACTGATCGTTCTGCTGGTGCAGCAAAGCCAACTCCCATATCTCCCTTTTTTGGTGGAACAACTGAGAGGGAAAACTCCCCAAGCACGACAATGAGGACGCCTTTTAACTCACCCATCCCATGCTGTAAGATAAAAAATGATGGAAAAGTCTTCAGTCCTCAGGTTGAAAGGCTGTAAGTGTGGATGGGGCAGATTTTGAAAAAGAACTCTCTTCCCTAGGGAGCAGTAACATCAGTGGCACTGGAGAATTGAACATAAAAGACTGTTGCCCTCTTAGCAGCTAAATGGAGAGCAGCATTAAGTTAGCAGGCCCTTTCCTCTCAAGGGCCTCATCTTTATGCTGTACACTGCTTTCAGATTGTAATGTCCACAACAGGCAAGATTCTTTTACGAACTTCGTGACCTGAAATTAAATTCCTGTGTTTTATAATTTACTGACATCTGTGAGAATTGCAGTACCCTTCCATTAACTCCATTTAAAAGAAAGCTAAATCATTAACTGGTCAAACTTAACATTTTAACTTAAATGTTTTATAAAACTTTAAAAACTAAATGTCCAAAAGTATATATTACAACAATAGACTACCATAGAATAAATACATAGGTAAGCACGCTCCTAGACTCCAACGTTACTTTTCATTATGGTTAGTTAGGCTTTTTCTTCTACTTTTCATCAGAACTTCGTTTTACAGAACACATTCATCCATTCACGTCCACTGAAGCCGCATTTTTCTGAGGAGCCCTTCAAGTAAATTATAGCCCTGTATTTACTCTGGGGATCATCTATTATTCTCTATTGTATATATTTCCTAGCTATTTACATGTTGTTTCAAGAAAAATAATCAATTAAGACTTTAAGAGACATTTAACGGCTGGAACAAACACCATCTTTTTCAAAATATTTCTGTTGGGTTGACTCATACAAAAAGAATTCATTTCTACTGTCAATGCAAAATATACTTTTATCTCGTTAATGATTACTCTAGGAGACATTTGAATAGTCATCGGGCCACTTATAAATGCAAATATTAAAGACAAAATTTATTTCTATATTATACTTCAGACAATGACATTTAGAATGATATTAGATTTGCGTGAAGGTTTTAAAATATAAATCTTCTTTCTACAGCCCATTAATATATTACGCTTCACCCAAATAACATAAAAATATATCTTTAAGTTGCTCTGTTACTTCTCATATAAACCAGGGGGAATGTTTTATACTGGATACTGCCAAACATTTGTGTTCCCTAAGAGAAGGTACCCACAGGAGGCCTCACAGAATTGTGGTGCATTTTCCAGCTGGCAGACAGAAGTCCCTTTTAGCAGAGACTGCAATACAAAGAAGGGACCCCAGGCAGTGGGCAGAGGAGAAGGGGACAACTGCTTGCTCTCTCTGCCTAAGTAAGCCAGAAGGCTTGGGAAAGGGTCTCTGCAACAAAAGCAGAAAGGAAAAGAGCAAAACGTCCTATCACTCATCTCTGCAAACATGAGCTGAAAAGAAGAAACAGCAGTTTTGTCATGTCATCAGCTCTCCTTGGTGAAAATGGTCAATATTAAAACACAAGTGTGGCTTTCATTATCTGTGCAAACCAACTGCTAAGCTGTTTTCTGATAACACAGGGAATTAGAAATGATATTGAAAGCTACAGAGAACATTTTTTTCAGGGGAGTAAAAAGTTCAGCCAAACTATTAATGTGCATAATTTAGAGGAGCCAGATTTTGTCCTCTTCCTCTCCCATGAGTAGTAAGGGCTCCAAATGGAGTTAACACTGATAGCGTTAATAGTGCTGCTTGGCACTTCCCCAGTCAGCAATTCTTCTAAGGTGTCTCAGCTTTGACCACAATTTTCAGTTACTCCCATCTCAGACTGGTATTGCCAGATGTTACAAATCACAGCACACGTGGGGATTGAGGAAAAGGGCAGAGGAGGATTTCTGAGACATATCCCACTATCCATTACAAAACATGACAAAACCACAATTTTATCCTCAGTGCAACCTGAAAAATTATTCTGAAACCAGATTTTCTGCAGAGAAAAGGCAGTGCATTGAACCATGCATCAGCAGTTCAGAGAGTAATAAATATTGGCAGAATATGGATTCTCTCCCCTAGTCATAGGAAGAGGCCAACACGTTTTTAATGAAAAATTCTATTCTGTACTCGAGTGGAAGTCTGATGTGCTGCTTGAGCACAGCTGGCATTCTCTTGTGCAGGAAGCAACAATCTGACTATCTGGCTCACAAACTATCCACCATTTTCCTCACCAAATCTATGTGCTATGCTTGATGAAACACAGTACTCCAAGAGGCATCTTGACTTTCCCTTTTCAAGGAGGGAAGTGACAGGAATGTACCGACAGAAGACTGATCTGATACTTGCACGATATACGAAAATTTGCTTTTTACACAAAAACCTAGAACAAACCCTTAATTGTAGCTAGTAACTCATAACAATGGCTAAGGATTCTGAGGAAGGCCTTTGTCAAAAGCAGGGCGAGGAAGAAAAACAGATTTTACACCACTATTCTGTCAGGACCATAAACAAGATTTAAAAATAACAATACAAACTTTGGAAGCACTAAAAATTACATTTCAGTGCAATTCAATTATTAACACTGACATGGGTTTTTCCAACGCGATGAATTAATACCTTGGACGGACTGCTCCATTTCTTTTAAAGTTATTCATAAAATTTCACAAAGCATATTAAACATTCCAAGAAAAGTACACTGTCTCTATGCTCAGGCTTCCAAAAAAATAAGGATTATTTTACAGGAAAGGGAGGAAACGCAGCATTACCACCACCTAGGCTGTACTCTTACACTTTATGTTATACCAAAGACTTGCAAATCCAAGTAAGACTCTGATCAAAGAGTACTCATAACTGAATTTGATGCATACAGAAATGTCTTGTACAAATTACAACCTTTCTAATTTCCTCGTGACAATCTATAGTAAAGCAAATTTTATCTACATGTATTTTAAATAACATCACCATAAAAATAAAAAGTTTATCAAATGAAAACGTGTTTCAGTTAGACCATGCTTTTCTAAAATCATGCTCAATTTGTACAGTAGTCAAGTTCATACTCTTTTTTTTTAATGTTCTTTTTTTTTTCTCCTTTCTTTTTTTTTTTTTTTTTTTAAACAAAGACTCAAAACCACAGATTGTAAACTCCTTGATGAGGCTCTAGTTTATTCTGGCTCTTTTTTGATTGTTAGCACTTTTTCCAGAAGTCCATGCACTTCTCCATTCACACCATGTTGATGAGAGGTCTTACTTCCCATGTGGTTGCTGTAAGAGCTTCTCAAGTTACTAAAAGGAGTTTTAAGCTCTCCATCAGATGCCATCTCCTCTTTGATTGTAACACGAGTCGAACTATCAGTAAATGATGGTTCGTTCCAAATTTCTTTGTCATGTGCTTCTTGGCTAATAGAGTTGCCGCCTTTCTGTAACATGTAGTACAAGATCGGATTGGTTTTGGTCAGTCTCGGAGAGTCTTTTTCATAATCATTCTTGTCCATACCTGTGATCACCCATCTAATGGGACCTTTCTCACTGGGCATGGGACACACACTGAACTGGTCAGGTTCAAGTCTCCCCAAATGTTCAGGGAAGGGGGAACTGGCAGGACTTTTTACCGGATACTGAAATGTTCTGTGATCTACACAATTGCTCTGTTGCACAGGACTTCCCATTAACGCATTTACTGAAGAAATGCTGAATTCGGGTTTATTAATTGTTGCATTGCTTTTGTTTCCTTTTTTCTTGCCCTCAGTTAGTAAGTTATTCCTATGTTGTGACAGGTCTCTCTCACAGTTTTCTGAGAGAAGCAGCTGTTTCAACACATTAAAGCCTTTACTATCTCTAGACCAACTCCTATTATCACTTTCATTATTTGAACCATGACTTACAGCATATTTAAATTCTGAATCACTTCTGCCGAATTTCAGTTCTTGCTGGTTTAGCAAAGGCCCATACAGTGCCTCTGTAGGAGAAACATGATTGTTTGCAGCATGAGACACATTAGTTTTCATCTTTTTTAACGGACTTTCCAAAGGCTCAGCGTGAAGTTTCCTTTTCTTCGGTACTGTGCAAAGATTCTTTGATTCCAGGTGTGTCAGGTCACTGTTTTGGTGACTTCTGTCCAGCTCATCTGCAGGGTAACTATCTTGATTCTGTGTCAGCAATCTACTTAGCAAGCCATTTTTGGAAAAAGAAAAATCTTGAGGTGAAAGAGGCTCAGACTTCATCTCCTCAGATGCTGGAGAAGCAGCTGTGTTTCTCTGTTGCGAATGAACAAATCCTTGAAATTTGTTACCCCTGCACTCTCTTATTTGTTGTGCATTTGAATTATAAGGGACATTTGATTCTTCAGATGGTTCAGTTTTTATTTTCACTGTCAATATTTGCTCATTCAAAGCCTTATCTCTCTGTTCCTGAGAACTTTCATCTCTTAAAAGCACCCTCTCTTTCTTTTCATTTTTACCTTTATTGGGAGTTCCCAGAAGCAGCTGAAGGACAGTACGCCTTTCAAGGAGATTTTCTATTTCCGAGCCTGGAAGTCCTTGTTCAGTGGGTACAGGCTGACAACTTAATATTTTGTTATTTTCTTCGTGTGTACTTAATTTGTTTGTAAGCAGAGGGCTGTTCAATCTATCAATCAAGCCTACAGGTTTATCTGTGTTCCCCACTAGCAGATGTTTGCCAGATCTTTGTTCTTCACTTGACATGGAAGTCTGCATACCACACTGAGCAAGATTCTGCAACAGTTTGCTGGCACTGAAAGCCGAAGAGTTTTGTGGACTGTCATTTCTGCTCAGCTTAGCTCCTTGAATTTCTTTGCTTTTTGAAAGATCTATCAAATGTTTAGATGCAGGATTCACCAGCCTGTCTGGCTGGATGCTGCAGGCATACGGTGGTGAGCTACGTTTGATGGCTAACGATTGGTGAGAGAGATTTATAGGAGAGTCTGCTTTTGTAGAAGCAAGCAAAGGCGGAGTGTTTAGTGGAGTCATTCGATTTGCATTGGGACTGTCAGTAACAGGAGTCCTTTTACCAGTCTGTACAGTGAATTTTGCCACATCAGCAGCACTGTGTGGTCCCTGAGGCTCATTACTTTTGTCTACTTTTTCTTCGCTCTTATGCCCAAGTAACAGCTGAAGTAGCGTTACTTTCTGATGGGGGTTCAGCTTAGAAGCCTTCGGAGTGTCTTTGTCTTCCTTGTTCTCCGGACACGAAACTTTCGGATCCCAGCTATGAAGCAAGGACTGAGTCAGGTTGTCCAGTGATGCAGGTGGACCTGCGTCTGGTTTGTCTGTCCTCTGTTTAAAAGATAAGTCTATAGGAAGACAGTTAGAATGGGAGCTATCGTCATCACTGCTGTCATCTGTAAAACTAGGATTGTTGTCTGAATACTCATCAATAGTTGTTGGTGTGCTGCTCTCTTCAAAAATGCTGGCTCTCTCACTCTGTTCGTGCCCTTTTAACTGTTTGGTGGTATTCTGGCTTTTCAGGAGATGTAAGAGCAAACTGTTGCTGGGAGATGTTTTTACATTATTCCTTTCCAAGTTATTTTTGAATCCCACATTTTTGGGTGGTGAATGTGTGACTCCCACTGAACTCTGAAATGTTGCCATATTGCTTTTGCTAGATACCATTTTGGTTGATGATCCGGCTTGACCATTGAGATGGCTTGTCATTCCTTTTGCTAAACTGAACTGGCCAATATCTTTTTGAGCACTTTCTTGTAATCTGGCCATAGCTGCAAGTCTCTCACTTGCTATTTGATTTGCATTTTGTGCTTTTAAAGCATGTTCCCTGGAGTACTGCTGCAAGTGAGCTTCACTTGAAAGGAGTAAAGCTAGTTGGCTGCATGCTACGCTGGGCTTCGGTGAAGCAGCAGGACTAGATCGCTTCTCTACCATGCTTGCCACAGCTTGTAATCTTGCAGCACATGACAGTGGTTCATTTATTACTTTAGGTCCACTCTGCACTGCATGAGGAGATTCTATAAACCTCTCTTTGGGCAGGTTCTTTGTTATATCAGGCAGGCTGTTGTCCAACTTCTGATCCTTTGCTTTGCTCTTCTTCAGTAGAGTCTTCAGGTGACTGGATGCAACACCATAGCACCGTAAATCCTTCTCCACCTGTAAAGAATCATGGCTAAGGGAATAGCCTTGCTCCTTAAGGCTCTGTCTAATCTGCTGTGACAGAGCAACACTCTGAAGCCTAGAGCTGAATGACTGAAGCAAAGAGGCAAGTAATGTGCTATCCTGTTTGCCTTTAGGCACATTTTCAACCATGCCAGCTAACAAAGCTTCCTTTTTTCCATCTAAATCCACAACGGAATCAGACAACCGCCTTCTCTTTGCTGCATTCCAATCTTCAGAAGACTGCAACAGCCTTGCTTTTTTGAGGTGCAACATGCCAGATCCCTGATATGTACTTGTGTTAAGAACTGGACCATTACTTTGACAGCTGGGAAATATATTTCCAGAAATCTTGAAGTTTTGATCCTCTCCACTATGCCCAGTAGACTTTTTGTCAACTGTAGTACCTGAGCCTCCTGCTGCTTGATGCATTAGTAATCCCTCTAGGTAAGTTAGAACAACAGAATCCTGGTGCATCTCAGAGCCAAGCTCTTCTCCATGAGTCATGTTCAATAAAAGTATCCAAAAGGGCTCTGTTTCTATTCACTTCAAAGAGTAGTTTGCTGCAGCTGAATTGAGATGCAGAGTTAATAAATAATAGATAGATGTCTACAGCGTTTTCTCACAAACTTTCAGAAACAACACAGTCACATTCCAGGCAGGTTTCTTCCAGTGTATCTTGTTTGATAAACCAGATTTTCAATCATGTCCCTGTGTTGATATATAGAATATTTACGATATTTACGAAGGATGTCTAGGAAGAACGCTCAAAACACACTTCTAAGGTAGGAAAGTTCCATCATGTATTTGCTTTCTTCAGCTTTCTCCAGGAAGCTAGTTTGATTTCCATCTTTTTCCATCTCCATCAAGCAATAGAATACCTAAGTGGAAAAAAAACAAAACAAAAAAAAAAAAAAACAGTGGTCAAGAAAAAGAATTAGGGTAAGATCTAAATAAACTGAGATTTTTTTTCCACATACTGTTCTAAAGAGATTCAAGATGTATAAGCAATAATCACACTCCAGAAGAAATAATTGAGTAATGCAATGAGTCTGTGGCACCTAATTTGAAGAACTCTAAAAATGATTCTGAGACAGAAAGCATTAGGTAAAATCTAAGCTAAAGTGAACTATTCTAAGTGTAGCTACAAGAACTGATCATTAAATTCCTCTGTTCTACAGCTCAAAATAAGAACTAGCAACCATGAAAGAAAAATCAAAATGCTGCTCAGAAAAGTTTACACTGGATTCTACCTCACAGTTTCATCAATATTTTTATGTTAGCATGCGAATACACAAGGCATGAACAATACCACAGTGAAAGAAATATAATGGGAAAAATATATATACCTAAGAGTCAGTGTTCAGGTTCATGTTGAATTTCTTTTCAAATACCAGAATAAGCTGCAGCACATATGAGCACATTTCTGATCTTCCAACTCCTAACTACCATTAAGTAATTAGAAGACTCAAGCAATAAGAGTGGAGAAAAAGGTGATTATTAACATGTTCCTGGTAAATCTTCTTTGAAAGATATTTACTTTTACGCTCTTTCCATGTATTCATTGTAAACTGGTGAAAAAGCAGGCCTTCTTTGAAGTCTTTTTGTTTTCAAAGTCATTCATGTAGAACATCTCTACTCAATACTTACCTGGATGAGGCAGCATGCTATAAAATGTAGATTTAAAAAACACAATGGTTCTTACGCTTAGATGTATCTCTTAGTTTTACACTGGTCAACGGTAGCATGAACAGTTCACACAGTTAACACAGTTCAGTACTGAGATCATTATACCACATATGCCTCCTTCTTTTCTCTTTCAGTTCCACATAGCATTAATATTCAACATGAACACAGCTAAGTGCCTTTCAACATACCTAGCTCTGCAATTTTCTTTCACAGACTAAAAGCATATTTAAACTTGTAAATACAAGTTTTCAGAAGGATATACAAAGGTGAAAGCCATGCATCCTTAATGTGAATGAATGCTTTATGATTGATTTCACAGAGGCTTTTTTTTTTTTTTTAATTCAAAAGCTACAGGCAACTAGAAGTTAGAAAAATATCAGATCTGAGAAAAGTATGGAATTAGAACAACAGCCACACAGCCATAATGCTAATACCTTATAGACGTTCCTGTACAAATACATTCTTAGTAGACTTCAAGTCATTTAAAGAAGTTCCACAAACTATTCAAAACAAACAAGTAAACAAAAACAAAAAACAAAAACCCACAGAACTAAAACAACAGCAACACACTGTAGTGTAAATGAGTATACCCATGTATCTCAACAATGAACTGAAAGTTGGTAGCTCATTCTTGGGAATCAGTATTTCTCTCACAAATTGCCTATGATCTCACTGTTTCTTCAACATTCTCTGTGTCTGTGCATTGACTTTTGCAAAGGTTCAAATAAAATAAACAGCAAGTCCTTTAAAAAAAAAAATACATAGCTCATACACAATGCTTCTCATGAATATGTCAACCATCCAGAAAGTGCCGTGTCTATACAGCTAAGTTTATTTTCTTAAATATTTGGAAATATACTTTATCCAGAAAATAAAGTTCTCCAGCTTTCAAAACCAAACAGTTTATCTGCAGATACATTTTCACATTTCAAAAGGCAATTAAGCTCACAGCATGTTTTTATACAGGAGCAAGTAGCACTTGATACCCTCCTTTGTGCTTAAGAAAATAAAACTGCATTTTTTCACTATCATACACTGCAGCTACCTTAAAGCATACCTTAAAGCTGAAGCCCCAAGCCAGTGCACTCTGTGTTAAGCTGGTATTTGGGAAGACATCACTATAAAATTAATCTTTAAAATTACAATGCATTTATGTGAATTCCTTAGGTGCTCAAAAAGATTATTGCAAGAGGTGACACTTGTAGCCAGTACAGTTTATGTGCAGGTACTCTAAACAGCGGCTTGCCACTTTTATCTTCTTTTTTTGGTTTGTTTGTTTGCTTGCATGTTTGAAATTCCTCAAGGGCAAAGAAATATTCATAATTTTACTGAAGTCTACCAATGCAAGGGAGCTTTCATTGAAGAGAATGAAATCTGAAAGGCATATAACATGAGGAAAAGGACATCACAGACCCTTCTAAAGAAGCTGCACTGATTTAGTATCACAGTGGCTATCACAGCATTAAAAAATCCTGCCGGACCTGATGTGCAACATGCAAATATGAAGTCACCTGTCAAGAATAGAAATCACATTTAAAAAAAAAAATTCTCTAAACCCATACTTTATTTGTGACAAAAAGCCTGGTAGTAAATTAACCTATTTGAAAACAGTCTCACAACTACGCATTTCTTGCAAGTTTTGAATCTGGTATGCTTATCTTCCACTCTCTGGTCTGATGTGTGGTCATACGGAATCAGAACCAGCTTTGGGAATTAATGTTTAGCTGGACAAAATCACTCAGTAACATAATCATTCAGTAACCCTTTCAAAACATATTGACTAAACCAAAGAATTTCTCTGAAAGTGTGCAATAAATATGATTCCAGAAATCATCTGAAATGAGGAAATAAAAATAAAATGTTAAAAAAAGAAGGAAGAGAAGGGGGATCTTATGTATCTAATGTCTCTGAATCTCTAGAATTATATTTCACTATAGTGAAAGAAATGATAAATTAAATTTGATATGCTTTCTTGACCAGGCAATGACTGTGCATGAACCACTTTTTGTTGTTTCAACTCTTTCTTCACAAATTCTCGTATTCTACAAATAAAAGGCTTGTTTTGCAGAGGCTATTTTCAGAACCAACACAACCACACACCGATCACAGCTCATTAAGTCATGTTTACCTAGACAGAACTAAAGCAGCAGCACGACTCACAACACAAATGCTGTAACCTGGGGAGACACTCCGAAAGTGGAGCATACCATGGGAAATCAGTCCTACAGCCTTTTAAAAAGTGCCCAGGGAGAATCTGTAGGCAGAGTGAGGAAGATAAGAGAATATTACAACACGCACTGAACTGTAGAAATCATGGATGTCCAGAATATTAATTTTACTTTTGCAGTTATCAAGAGTTCTTCTTTGTTTGCAAACTACGGATATACTTGGTAGTTGCAAAGATTTCAGTGGCAAGATAACAAAATACTCTGAGATCCTTTAGTTAACATGAAGTATTACTGCCACAAAAGATAAATAGGAGAACAAACCCTTCTAGGTTAAAACAACAACATCTGAACCAATAGCTTTTTGCTGACATGCACACACACACACACATGTATATACACACACATAGTTTACGTATAGTATATTGCTAAATCGCTGCTCTATATCAGAAGTCTCTTGAGATGAATGCAGCAGCTGAGACCTCTTCACAGATTTGATTCAGGCTGTCAAGAATTTTGAAGGTTGCCCTTCCGAATTTTTTTTAAAGACAAAAGAGAAAACGTAATCTGATGATAGAGCACAACTGAGCAACACATGAATTCTTCCAGAGAATCTGTGAATCAACACGCCTTTTCTTAACAATAAATTAATGGAGATCAAACTCTTCCCTATGACTGTGGGATGTCACTTTGAGAAAACAAAAGCAACTCTTAAGTTTTTTCAATTAATGAATGCCTCCGCTGCAAAACTTACCTGGAAATGCTAAAACAGCCATTCTGCAATTAACCAATAGACACTGAGTTGTTACCATTTAATAAATTAAAAACAGGTAATGATTTACATTATCACCTATAAACATGTTTAACTGGTATCTCTGGCTAGTACTTCTCCTTTCTAAATCTCCCACCACAGCTCACAGCCTACCTATTCTCATATTCCCAAAGCAGCTACAGCCCACCATGTCAAGTGGTGTTTCAGACGATCATTTTCATCACTGTTCATTTGAGGAATCTAGGGAATACAGTAGCAGCTTGTGATCCTGGGGTCTTGGTTACTTGCTGTGCTTCAGGCAGGCCGAATGACTTCTGGTTTTACTTTACTATATCGTATTTTCAAAGATGGTGTAAAATAATAGATGCAAACATCAAAAATACAACAGGGGATAAATATATTAAAGACTTTAAGTTGCTTAACAGCTTCAGTAACAGCACTGAGCGAGCACCTAAAACAGGATTTCAAACGATTCTGTGTTCTTACAAGCTGTCTGTAGTGAGATGCTGCAGAGCAGAATGAAATTAAGTTCTACACAAAGATTCCTACATGAGTGAAGAATGGAAATTGCAGCAGAATTTTTCAGTAGACTGAATACAAGTGTAGAAAGGAAAAATAGCTGTCCCACAATTATTTATTTTGTTCTGAGCTCCGTTCCTTGGACTTCAGCAGACAGGAAGGATGTATTCAGAGTGGTGGTACAAGCACTTCTGTTGACTTTTTGCTAAGGTTACAAGCAGTGAAAAAGGCACCGAATGCATACAGCAGCACAAACGTGGAGGTACTTCAAAGGCAATTAAGCATGTACTTTAAGAGAAGCCAGTATTAAGTGTTTTGCTAAATCCCTGCTTTACTTCTGAACTCTACTGAGATGAATGGAGCAGCTGAGACCTCTTCACAGATTTTATTTAGTCTGTAAAGGCATTCTGAAGATTTCCTTTCCCTTTTATTTAAAAAAAAAAAAAAGAAGAAAAAAGAAAAGTGCAAAAATAATTAGATTACAGAGCAAAATTCAGCAACAGGTGAATATTCCACAGTTGCACACTAGAGAATTTATGAATCAACATGCCTTTTTTTTTTTTAGTAATAAATTCATGAAAACCAAACACTTTCCCTATGATCCCAGGATATCACTACGAGAAAGGAAACACCGACTCCTTCCCAACAGCTTGGCATACTGTTTACTTGTTGATGGGGCCTACTTACTCCAAGAGATTTTAAACATGGAAAAGATACCCTGCTGCTTTTAAAAAGC